GTTTTATTACATGCTAAATTGGTTGATGTTTCTCTTTATTATGTTGGCTTGCAAGCCAACTATTAATTATTATCATGAGAGAGTAATTGACTCCGTCTAGAGCTTTAATGTTTCACCAAACTCGGCTCAGACCTTCAGACTGGTCTGACTCTTTTCTAACTGGTTAGACTGTTTAAATCCCATTGACTTGCGTTATTGGAGCAATGAAGGCCAAAATACTTAATGCTGTCTACTAGAGGGTTAAAACAGGGTAAGAAATCTTTTCAGTCTGTAATTTTTTCTTTCTGTTGACATCAGTTTAAATGACAAATAAATGAACAGAATGTAATTTGTACTGACATGAATAGGCCATATCTGTGTACAAGAACAAGCTTCACACTTCAAGCTGTACAACTACTTAAAACTCTCCATCCGGGCTTCCTCAAGCAAGCCTACTTCAAAATTTGTTCACAAACTTCACTTTCTACCCTGCTGAAAATTCCAGCATAAACCAGCATGAATTCCATGCTGGCCCAGACTTGTTTATGCTGGTTAATGATGGTTTAGAGCTGGTGGACAAGCATAATAGAGCTGGTGAAGCTGGTTCAGCAGCATGGTCTTGAAGGGTTAAGTGAGTAGGCCAATTGTCTGTATGCAAGCAGTGTGTTTGGGGACAAGCATTGTTTTTACATATTTCTATTTTTTTTACAGATTAATGATGTAGAAACCCTACGAGATTGAAACATGATTCATAGTAATATTACAACTTTGTAATTTATTTAGCTCCCTCTGTTGTCAGTAGACCTAAAATGTTTAGTTGTTTTAGTAATGATTATATTATTAATCAATGTTATACGAAGTTTTGAATAAAAATTGTAAAAATGCAAACCAGTGAAAAGTTTCAAAAGATTTACTGTATGTTCTGTTTCAAAGGATCTGTGCACAAATCAGTTAAAAACAGTTTAAGATATTGTTTATTCACACTGGTTTGTGCATTTAATGCAAAGTTCATCTACCCTAATTAAACACACCTGAACCAGCTATAAGCAAGGTTTTCAGGATCACTATGTCCAGGCACATGTTTTGGAGCTGAACTCTGCAGAACATGATCATCAAAAGCAACATACAATAACATCTAATGTTCTTGAAGATTTTTGTGTAATTCTGTGTAAAACAGTATGCATTTTTCACTTCCTGCAGTAACATTTACACAAATACAAATACAAACAATATTCAATTATAAATTACAATATACAATAACAAATACACACAATATTCATACAATGGTATATCCTAGAAATAATCTGTCAGCATATAGTATAGTTCGCTTGCAAGTCGCAGCAGCACGAATTATGTACGTGCCTAGCAATATTCCTGCTTCAAATGTTATGCGTAGTTAACAGTGAATGGTGGTTTCAGACAACATTTTATTAAAGAGCAATATTCAGCGCCGCACTCGTACTGACTCTTATTCTGTCTGACAGAATTAAAAACTCGTGCTGAAGGAGCTCCGATTTGACTAATCTGAATTTGAAAATTCTTCAAAAAGAACACAAAGAATGGCTTTCTCAGCTGCCATAGTTGCAACTCTTCCGTCATCAGAACAGAGTGTTCAACGCACCACCGTTTCCGTTTAAAAAACACAGAAACGGTGATGCGTTGAACACCCTGTTCTGATGACGCAAGAGTTGCAACTATGGCAGCTGAGAAGGCCATTCTTTGTGTTCTTCTTGAAGAATTTTTGGAGTCTGATGAAATCGGTATAAATACGTGTTTGATACTGCAAAACACGCTCGATGTAACAGTCACTGCCCTTGCTGTCCAGAATAAAAGAGAACATCCCGATTCGTGTGAAGGGATTTGTGGAAACTGTGGTTCCTAATTTGCAATTACTAAATGATATTTAGACAGACTTAAAGAAGTTCCAGATCTATACATGTGCTCTTATTATTTCAGTTATTTTGCCTTTAATGTAAATAAACATGTGCAAACAATATACTTGCTCTTGTGAATTTATTTTGATGTTAATTACATTGTGCGAGCTGTCTCTTTAATACCACGTGGTTTATATACATGTTGCTGCTGATTGGGCTGACATTTTTGACACACCCACCAAACAAGAGAAAATATATCTCAAACCCCGTTGCATGCCGTTTCCAGGAAACATGTCGTTCAAACCGGAAACCGTAGCAAAACCTTGTGCACCGGTTTGAGCTTGAACTTGCCCCTGCAGCTGTTTATTCATTTTTCCACCCATGAAGGAAAAACAAAAATTTAAGCTGAATTCTCGTTTTTCGTTTTTTGGAAAACAAAAAACGAAAAAACGAAAAAGGAGCCATTTTCTAATTTTTCTACGTTCAATATTAAAAAAAAAAAAAACGAATGATCGAATGATACACGGATTTACCCTGATTGAGAAGCATTACTAAATCTGAAAAGAAGTCAATATTTTACTTTTTCGGGCAGCATTTTGTGTGTACGGTTCTAATTTCAATTTTGGTTTTCAGCATAGCATTTAAAAATACAATTACCATCCTTTTTTATTTTTTTTTTCGTCATGGTTAAAAAACGAAAATCGAATGGACGCAAAAGTACACGGACTGTACACGGACCACCTACCCCAACCCTAAACCTACCCCTTACAATAATGCAAAAATAGTAATTATTGTTGTATAGTGTGACAAAAATTACGCTGTATTGATGTGCGCATGCCCAGTAGCGCCTTTTGTATCCCCTCTTAACCTGGATATGACGACTGCGGAAGTCATACAGAGAACCCGGAAATGTGTTCAGGTTTAGAGTTTAACATATGCTGTATTATTTAAGTGTTATTTCGTTATTTATGTAAAATATATATTAATTATATCGGAGCACCATGATCATCGGGTATGTTCGTGATTTATTAACGAAATTCTGTTTTTACAAAACTAGTCGTACTTCCATCACAGCCGTACTTTCCGTTCTGACTTGCCGCGATACATGAAAAAAAAAAAGTGCTCAGGTTTGCGCTCGCTTTAGTATTTGGCCTGATTTGTTTTGTTCATTACTTGGACTAGCATTAATAGACAGCCCCTGTCAACATCATTAATACATTGATTATGGGTTGATTACTTAACTAGTTACAGGTTAATACCCAGAGAAATAGCTGAAGCGATTATTCTGATTTAGCCATTAGCATTAGCGTGTTGTATTGTCTTTTTGTGTCCCGGTTAGGCCTGTCACGATAACAACTTTTTGTTGTGCGATAAATTGCCCCAGAAATAATTGCGATAAGCGATATTATTGTAATTTTAAAGACCATTTTATGCCACTGAATATATAATCATAATGTAACAGCATAATAATGCAAGAAGGCCAACACACTTCCAAATGACAACTTTTAACTTTTAAGAATATTTAGATCATAGAAATTAGGTATCAAAATATTAGATACCTTAAAAAACTTGAATAAATAGTAAATAAACATTTTCTAACAAAAAATGCAAAGTAACAAGTAGAAAAAAAGAAAAATGCACAAAAAACTTTTATGGAGATTTTTCCATCTACAGATTTTTCCCTGACCTTTTCTCTGTAAGTTAAGGGTGCACACTATTGCTGACAAACACAATGACTACTTAGCAGTCAGATGCACAAAGGCACAGATCCCTAAACAAGACCATATCTGCAGATGAAATTTTTTGTAGAAGCATTTTTTAAATTTGAACGAGCACCTCATGACTACACCATGTTATGTACGAGAAGCTGCAAAAGACTCAGGTGCAAGTGGAATGTACAAAACATGGTGACATATATATTGCGTCACCAAAAATTATTGAGTTCATGTACATATATTGATAAGTCGATATATTGATTATTGAGACAGGCCTAGTCCCGGTGCATGTGCAGTTATTTTTATTTGATAGTAGTTTGATTGACTGAGTCTTATAGTGCATTTAAGATGATATTGTACCAATACATATGATGGGTGAAACTGCTCCTTTATGCACAACAACATTTACTGCTAAATCATGTTTACAGTTTCTACAACATCTACAGGATAATTATGCAACATCTTGTATATTGTTAAGCGAAATTGTAAATTTTGTTAATTTGGTTGCGAATTGGTGCATTTGGACAATTTAGTGACAATTTACAGCTGGCAAATGTATACATTTTTGTATAAACATTTTGCATATTTACAAGTTTTGTTTTGCCTTTATTTTTAATTGTTTCTTTGTGAAGTTTGACATGCTGCATATGAAAATCACATTTGGTCAATTTTTTTTTTGTGTATCATTAACTACAAACTACAAAATATATGTTGACAACTTTTACAAGCTAATCTGTTATTACTCATGCATAAAAATTGCATGGCACATGCAAAATACTGAGCTAACAACAATTTAACATAAACAGTTTCCAAAAGTGGGTCTTCCAAAACTTCAGAAGTATATGTTGGATGATTTGTCTTTTTTATGACTAGTCCTACAATGTTCTGGAATGTTCCAAAAAGCACTAGATTATTACATAATATTCTAGAATGTTACAGAAACTTCTAGAATGTTCACAACCTTGCAAAAGCAAAATATCTTTAAAAAAACATGCAGTATTAACACAAAAACTTTTCTGTACTATACCAATGTTTTATAATTAATGAAAGATGCTCTTAAATGTACCTGACCTAAATATTTACCAACATATTGATGCTACTAAATAAATAAATAGTCCAATAATAATTAGCAAAACATAATTACAGAAGAAACATTAAAAAATGAAGTGAAACAGATTTTTGTTACATTGTGTTATTGTTCTAAGCTGATGTGTGTTAAGTTTGTCAGCAAGCCGATGTGCGTTATTATCGGCAGTCGCTTCCCATTATGCCTTTAGTGTTGTGAGAATATTGACATTTCAGCAAGTCAGCGAGCTTTTCTAATTGGCATGATCACTTGTGATCAGTTCTGCTCATCTCAAACAATGTCATGATCTACTGGTTGAGGAAGTTAAACTTGTTTTTGTTTTTTTCTTCTGCTTCTGCAGTTGGTGTTTCATCTGTGTGTTTGCAGTGCTGATAAACAAAGGTGAGCATCTGAACTAAATTTGAATGATAAATTCATGTCACATGTATAAATGTCAGATTGTGTGTTTACAATTACAGTTTCTGTCATTTCAGTGTCTCTGGATGTCAGAGTAGTCGGTTTTACTGGCAGTTCTGTTGTCCTGCCGTGTTCTTCAATTCAACATGATCTTAAACCTCAAGACATGCATGTGCTTTGGAGAGACAAAGACAGTGAGACTATTTATGATTTAATTGAAGGTAAAGATTCATTAGAGACACAGGACCCACGTTACAAGAACAGAGCGCAAACTTTCCCAGAGGAGTATGAGAGAGGAAACTTCTCCATCAAACTCAGCAATCTCACTCATGCTGATGAAGGAGAATTCAACTGCTTCATCACACACTCATCTTATTCTAATCAGGAGACTGTATGGCTCTTCATTAATGGTGTGTAAAATAATTTATTGAAGTTTAAAAAAAATTAGTCTAAATGCTGCTGTATAGAGTATAAATGATGGATCTGTTGTCTTTATCACAGTGTAGTAATGCTGTTTTTTTTTTTATGAACTTGTTTTGTTGCAGAATCAACAGTAGAAACTGGAAACCAATCTACTGAAGAAGAAAACCAAGTACCAGAAACACAGTCAAACTGGATAAAGACATTATTAATCTGTGTTTGTCTTTTAACTTTAATAACTTCAATAATTGCCCTGTCTACAGTCTATTTCAAATTTTGCAGGAACAAAAGCCATCAAGCTCCAATATAGAAGGAAAAGTGTCATACTGAAGGTCCTGTTGCGCACAGCAAGTGTCAGCGGCATCTGAGCAGCCCATATTTTCCAGCACCCATGTTAACAAATGAGTGTTCACATCAGAAGTGGGAGTGGCATGTCATGCACAATCACATATTCTGTTGTAGATTCTCTCATTATACTCTTGCAGAAAACAATGACAGAAATCAATGTGCACTGCTTGTTCTTATTGTATAACAGAATGAGATCTTGAAACACTTGAACAGTGTCGGTCCTGTCAATATGTTGCTGCCGTAACAATTCTGTACCACAAGTGTGTTCTCAAAGTAAATGTATTTTGTATTCTTTATGTATTTCTTGATTGTTAATATTATTACTGCGCATCAATTATTAATCTGATTCATATAAAATGGGATTAAATACATAAAGGATATTTGTATTATTTAACATATTTAATTATTGGAGTCATGAGTCATATTCTGAGTTGCTTTTAACTGTTTTTATTAATTTTGAGGAAAACTAAATCTGATTTTTTGTGAGTGAGTGAGATGAATTAATGCATGTTCAAATTTATTCTAGAACTAAAGTAACAGTTTACTCCCGATTTCTCTCAACAAGGAGACAGGAGAGCTTTCAATCAATAAATGGGGGAAAAAAAGTAAGTTGCTGCCGTAACAATTCTGTACCACAAGTGTGTTCTCAAAGTAAATGTATTTTGTATTCTTTATGTATTTCTTGATTGTTAATATTATTACTGCGCATCAATTATTAATCTGATTCATTAATTCCTAGTTATACATCAGCCAATGTAATTATTTGTTTTCATACAGTGTGCTTAAAGGTAAAACATGGTGCTCGTGGTTGAGATTATTATACGGCTCTGCAGACTGTTGTTATTTGGAACAGTTATTTGGAGGAAGTTATTTGGACAAGGTTACTGAATCTTCTTAAACTCAACACATTTCCAGGAGTGGTTTGCTAAATTAATCTTTTCCTTTTGAAATTTTTAATAGAAAGTATTATGAATGCCTCTCTCCCCTACAGTTACTCAAAGCCTTATGCTGCTTCCAACCCCAATATGTCTTAATAATAATTATAACCTTTACACCTTTGTTTTTAGTGTCTTAAGAATGTACAAGATGCTATAATAGATCCCAGTCTGTTTTTTGCTGGGCACATTTCAAATATTAATACTGTTAGACATTGTTGCTTTGTCAGATTTGATTTCAGGTGAGACCTTTGTTTAGTTTTTAGACATTTATAAAGTATTGAATTCGTTTGAGGACATTTGTTTGTTTATTTATTTATTAAAAGTGAATAAATAAAAATCCCAGTGAAAGATAAAGTCACTTATCTGGATACTGTCATTTCTAAGAATATGAGGAGTAGATGTTTTGACAACTTTACCCCAGTAAAAGATCAAATTCGATATATAGTTATTAATGTACTACAAGGCAAGCAGATGGCCATGAACACAATGCGCAAACTTTCACTTGTCCTCCCATAAAACAAAACGCTTAATGTGGCATAATAACTGGACTAAGATAATAAAGACAATTCAGTAGCCCATATGTCTTGTTGTTGACTCAAAGTATATATGGGAAACGCTTCTGTTTTCTCATTCTGTTATAGGAAAACTCTTAACGAGAGACCCTGTATGTTATAGTACTAAATTAGTTGTAATCAACAAAAAGTAATAAAAAAATAGAACAAAATAAAAAATAAAGACTGCAAGTGACGTAGCGGAAGCGCAAGTGTCTGAGAGTGCAACTGCAAGGCTGCAGCCAGACCCTCTTGGAAAGTTCAGGGTTTAGCTGACGGTAAGTTAACCGTGCTTTCTGGAATACGCCATGCTGTTTCTTTCTTCTTCTTTTGTTCAATGGTCGTTTACATGCTGAGTGCATATCACCACCTAATTGATGGCTGTGCAATCATTTTTATTTTTTTCGGTTTAATCTTTAATCCTTGAGAATATGAATTATATTGTTTGTTTGATGATCCAACCCCAGCCCCACTCAGGACCCTGAGCCCAGCCCACCATCTCCCCGTGGTACGGAGCATAAGCCTGAGCCCACCGATGACGGAGAGCCATTTCCCACTGCGATCCACGAGCCGGAGCAAAGCCCCGCGGCTGAGAAGAGGAACGTCTCGGAGATTGAGCCCAACACGTCAAACCAGGTGCGAGAGCCGGCGACAGTGCCCACCACGAGGGAGCACGCCGTGGACGGTGGGAGTGCGGAGGGGAGCTCCGACTCCTGCATCACGGCTTTGGGTGAGCGGAATATGGAGGGCATTCAGTGCCAAAACGAGGAGGATCCCCAATGTTACCCTGAGTGTGTGTGTCTCCTCTACCCGAATCTGCCTTGTTGTCTCTACATTAAATATCCTTATTTGAATCCTTGTCGTCCTCGTCATCCTGCCTGCCTCCACACACCTTGACCGTGACAACATGTTTGCGTTTTACACAGACAATCTTTAAAAACAGGGTGACATAATCTGTGTTATCCCTGTTACCCACATGTCAGAACCTGTTACCCTGAAAAGTAAGGGATGACAGTAACTGGTTTGACAATTTCAAACTAATTTCCTAATTTCTAGCTAATAGTCAAGTTCACAAAAGCACATCTTGTACACTTTGAAAGGATTTTACTTGTAGATATTGATTATATTTAATGTAATAAATAATTGTTTAAATGTATATTTTAAAAATGGTAACAGTATTGACACTGCATGATGGCCCCCTCAGTCAAGCCTCATAAATCATCAAAAATAGAACATTATAGAAGTGAGAGAAAGAAACATGCTTATGTTTTAAGTGTAGGAATCCTGCTTGAGAGATGATGTAACCTCCTAGAAATTATGTCACTTGAATTTACTCTATTTTGCAGTTTTTTTTTGTTTTTTTTGAAGAGGGTAACAGGGCTGACATGAAATCAGGGGACACCAATAAAATGAATAAAATTTCATAGAAAAAATGCATACTTATCCCAAAAGCATTGCTTAACAATGAGACTATATTTAAAACAATATGCAAATGTAATTTTTTATATCATTTTGCCTTAATTTTGCAAATTAAAAGTCCTGCTGAAAAAGAAAAAATAATAATGAGGGACAGGCCAAAAACCTTACTCTTATCAGAATAAATGTTATTTAAATTATTTAAAATAATATTTAATTGACCTTTTTATGTAATATTGATGAAAAAAATACATAGTATTGTTATGTTTTTAAATTGCAAATGTATTTGTTGTTATATTAAATCTATGTTTGATTACTTCTTATTCTTAGGGACGCAAAAGGCGCCGATTTCTTGTAATGACCCTTATGTTAATGTTCAGACTTTCAGATCTATTGACCAGTGTTTTATGTTATATTTTATTGAAAAATAAGACGCGTTACATTACAAAATCTGTAGTTATGAAAAAGGTAGCCTTAATTTTGACACAATATGACAGATATATGCTGTGTAAATTCAGTTTATAATGACAATTAAGTATAATATTGTTTTGTTTAGTCAATGTGTTATGTAATGGCATAATTGTAATTAATACTTAAGTGCTGCCCTACAAAAAAAGTTATTACAGAGGTTTATTTCTGATTATTACTCCTGTAATCTTGAACAAACGAACATTTCTTTCAATTGGTTTAGTTTTGTGAATAAGCTAAACTAATAGTCTCTGGAAAAAACAGTTTGGACATTTGTAATATGATTCCTGATATCTCTACACATTATATATTATAAAAGAAGTTACATAATCGCATTTTGTTGAAAAGAGCAAATCAAATAGTGAATAATGTACTCAAACTTACATGAGTACAAGAGCGAAGCTTCCTTTCGTAGCTCCTCTGGGAAAACATTGTATTCTGAATCCTGATCCTCAAGTGAAACTTTTCTCTGAACGATATTTGATGTATTCTTGCTGTCACTCAATACACTGTCATAACTTCGTCACTGTATACGAGCAGGAAAGGAATGCAGAGATTCCAGTTACCTCCTCATTCATGAGCCGCGGAGAAACCGAAAGGATAGAGATATAGAGAACTGAAAACAACAGGGATATAGTCTGGTTTTTCCACGCATTTGCCTTTCAAATTTTGTTTACTAACTACACCAGCAGATAGAGCAGAAAAACAGTAGAACAGGAAAAACTTTCCAGAAAAAATACTACTAAATATGCAATATGTTCATTTGATGATAATCTGCCCCAATGTACCATTAAAAACAGAGAGATATATGCTGGAAACTAATTAATTAGATATTGGAAATAGGCCTATAGCTTATTACTAGGCTGTCATCTGTGTTATATTGTTATGCCAATAGGTGTCAGCAAGGGATTGTCCCGCCCTCACACCAGTAAACTGAAGCAAAGCTGCGCCGATCGGTGTGTTATATCAGAGTACAGCGAGAGAGCAGACAGCTCCATATGCTAAAATCACTGGCAGGTGAAGTGAATGACATTGATTACATCTTTACAATGGAACTTTAATTCCAGTTATCAAAAGAAAATTACTTAACCCTTTAAGCCGGCGGGACACCTCCCGCACGAAAAAATTCATAATCAAATTACTAAGCAACCCCTGAATGGAATAACACAAAATATGTATCATTTTAAAGGTTAGAATCTCAGCTTTTTAATGATTATTAATGAACGATATTTTGATCAACTTTTAAGGAGCGCTGAGCAGGCAAGATGCCCCCCTGCGAAAATATTACTAATCATATTTTTCAAACCACTTCCTTGATCAACACAAAATGGATATAGTTTGAAAGCTTAGAGTCTGAGCTTTACAGTGCATGTAGCCGCTTTGATTAACTCCAAAGTAGTGCCAAGTTCTTTGCTGATAAATGACAAAAAAAAAAAAAATCATACATTTACAAAATATGTTTTTGTGCCATTTACTCTAATGTGTCAAAAACATCATACAGCTCAGATAGTCAGTGAGGACACGCCGATAGTAACGGACATGAAACAGGTTAAATTAAATAAGCATTCTTGTGTATGCGTTTCAATGGGGATTCGCCATATACATCGGCATAATCTCAATGTTCATGTTCGTTATTTCTAAGGTCGATATTTTCATTGTTATGAGTGTGTGGTTGATTTCAGCTGTGCGCAGTGTCTGGCACGTGCTTATCACAGTCATATCAATAACGGTGTTGTGGGAGAAGGGAAATAAGAGTTTTTGTGCACTGTAACTCTGACAACTTTTATCTACACGAGAGAGTAAAATGGCATGCATCGGCTAACTTGGTCCGTCTCATCGTTGCACAAACATGAATTAACGAGCTGTTACGCTGCCACTGGGACTGATGAAGTGGAGAAAGTACAGCAGTTATCAAATGACTAAATTATGATATTTGCTCAGGTGGGTGCTGGGATCTTTTCTATCAGA